AATCGGCTGCAACCAGACTGAGTGCTACCTTTTTGTTTACAGCTCTGCACTATCCTCAGAGGCTTTCATTTAATACTCGGTTTCCTCTCACGTCCGTCAGCGTAGGCAAATATTTTAACCGTCTCGTTTGTTATAAGAGGTTCTTTCCAGTCATACACTACCACCTAGGTTTCGATATAAATATATTTTAGCGTGGATTTGCAACAGTTGCTCGCCCGTTTTACCCAAAACTTAGATCGAATTCAACTTCACCGTTTGCACAAATCGATGGATGAGGAGTTGTTGATGCGGAAGTCCAGATATCACGTTTATTTATTTCGAGCACGCAAATGTGGGGATCATGGATCTACGAAGCCAGTAAAGGAAGATGGTCAATATTTTCCCAGAAAATGTTATGTATTACATGACTGAAATTCCGCCCGAATTGGGAACCTCGTTTTGTGCACAGCACTGAGGTAATAAAGTGCAACGCGCGGGATGCCGTCCTCCAGCTAAATTTTTAAATTCCATTCCAGCTGCAAAGTTTTCCTATTGGCCAGATGATGGAAGCCTTCTCTGTGCAAGGCAAAGATTGCCCACTCCAACAGCATAATTTATTCAAAGCCAGAAAGTACTGTTTGTTAACGGTTATTGTCTGCGAAATAGTGTTCAAGAATACACTTTTCCTCTGTCTTAAAGTAAGTGCTCGTCCTCTCATTGGAACTTCCACTCCTAAAGAGGGCCGGAGCTTACTTTTTCCCTTTATTGGAGTTCTCTTCATGCGCGTCGCCTCGTGAAAATAATTTTCATCGCTTATTCTTTGATAACGCAAGTTTTAAAAGTTTTTAATTTTTGTGTTGCAATGTCTATTACTTCAAGGTTGCTATTGATATTACCACCCTGATAAATAAAAAAAGTTGGCCTCCCTCTCTGTCAAACTTTTACGTTATAAAGGCCGATGCTCGTTCAAGTTCGTGCCAGCTTAAGCCCTGAAGTCGCCCCTTGTTTGGGTATTTGTTCAGTTATAGATGTTAAGTGGCTTTGGTGTCGCAGGGCATGACTTCAAATATTTTCATTGATTTTGTCTGGCCACTGGTTTTAACTTGTTTCTCAAATCCACTCTTTCTTAAAGTCCATAATTACTCTTGACCAGCGGGGCCATCTATCCGGTTTTCGCGCACTAAACTGATCTTCGAAAAAGCCTACTAAGCGCCTTACTAATCATCCAATTTTGCTTTTTAGTACTGCAAGCAGCTCTTCTAGAAAACCAATCAATATCAAGTCTTTTCGAAGAGCTGTCAACATACGGTAAGATTTATTTATTACCCACAATCTTTGCATACGCGCTCCCGGGGTCAGCCGTAATAAAATTTAGGCCAGCAGGAGAATACCAGCGTATGGCTTTGCGGGCGCCTATGCTATGGGGTTCTCTTGGTCGGCCAGCGAGTATGATTTAGTCGTTTAGCAGCTGCACTTCAACCTAAAAGCTACCTCAAATATTCTTACTTGGAACTTCAAGAGTGAGAACCTTTGATCGTAATTGGGATTATCACGCTCCAAGCGCGCTAATCGGAGAATATTTTGAGGTAACAAGTCGACCCCCTTATGAAGATTCGACATAAGCAACCGAGTGAATGTCGACAAAATGATTTGCATGATGTTGCCCTTTGTTATGAATTACGGCTCCGATAAAGTCTACTATAAACATTCGCTCGAAACTCTGTCTTTGCGAATAACTGCGGTTGACTGACATTTTATTGGGACATTTGCTTGTTCGCTTGTTGCTAGTTTACTTTTCTTTCAGCTCACTTTCTTATGTAATCTGCGAAGCCAAGTAAATTGCTCGTGTTCTTGGGAGTATACTATTGTATGACTTTTTTCAAGTTTCTGTTCACCGTCTTTCATGTAGATAGCTGTCTGTCTACCGTAATTTCATGCTCTTCGTGTCTTTAAGCGACCTGTACTGTGTCTTCAGTACTTGTCAATTCTGTTTATGCTAGCTAAAATTCCACCTTTGTGTTTGATAAACTGGGCTACCTATTAAGCGGATGTTTGTGGTCACATTGTTGGCTGTCTACTACTAAACAAAACACTTGTTTCCGAAAAAAAGATAATGTTTAACTGTCCTTATTTTATCTGCTGCATATGCTTTGTTTATAGCGATGTTTTCTTCCGTGCGATTTCTAAATAATTGCCTGTTTTAAACGGTTTTTGCGCTTAAAAACCAACACTGGCCTAATCGAATGTCCTCTAGAGTCCACAAAGCCGCCCGATCCTACAAGCAAGCTGGTGGAGTACGGTTTTGAGACACCGAGTGCACATCGTAGTGCTAGCCTGCTGGCCTGCAACAAACCGGAGAAGACACATTCTCGCAAAAATGTCACTTTTGACTGGAGGGGAACAAAGGAGCCTTTTAATATGATCGCTGCCAAGTCCACAACCTCGGTGTCTGCCACTCAGTCAGATAATGCCTTCTAGTTAAACTGATCCAGCGTTGTTCGCGTCTTGTTTTAGTTTCTTTTCTTTCTTTTTATTGCTTGCCATGAAATGACGACATTTATTTAAATTATTTTTCTACGTGTAAAAGTCAAACCTGTGTTCGTCCGTTGTCAGCCTAACTATGGTCATTCCTGCCATAACACCAGTCTGCTTACCATTCTTCTTCGTCCCCTTCTTACCTGTGTGCTACTTCTCTCTTGCATTTTTTCAGTTGCCAATCTCTGAGAATATTTGGCAGTCATGTATAAAACCCGCGATTTTACTTGTTTTATTCATTGTCTCCAAAAGTATAATGATCGAGTAGATCTGCAGAGCGTTCTGGTAGTCGATACGGAACGCAAAACTGTGTCCTCATTCAGGATTCAGTAACAACGCTTTATGAAAGTAAAGTGCTCGCATGCCAACTAGAGGACGTCGGTCGAGGCTTGTGGGATATGTGGGTAGCTGTCAATTTGAATTCGGTTGATGAAAAATCAGTGACTGATGTCAGTATGGATTGGGCTCTGGGCCGCCTGTGATGAGACGTGCGGTTCTACAGCAGGCTAACTTTTAGCGCACACAGTTAGAAGGACTATCCTGACTTTGCCGCAAAGGTGAACCTAGGCGAGGCTTCGCCAAACTTCGTAGCGGTATATTGACACTATTTTCCAGTGGGTGAGTTAGCCTTCATTGCCTTTCGTGCACTCTTTCAGAATGGCATTGATTGATGTTGTGTCACAAAGTCAATAAGATTTTTGCAAAATCTGGTGACAACGTACTCGCATAGGCATTAATTACGTCAGTTATTGCGGACCAGGTTGTCTTTCAATGTTGGTCTGGGTGTTGGAATTCTCTACATATCTGAGTCGAATTGAGGGTTCCACATTTTGCTTAACTTTCCACATATAACTACTAGCAATTGATAAGTTTTCTAAATGCTATTCGCACAATTGGTATATTTTCCAAAAGTCAGTATCTAGTTTTAACTTTCACGCCTGCTGTTTGGACCTCGCATTCGCCACTAACTAGCGTCAGCACACTGAGTCCGTGCCAGCTAGGGCAGCAAATCCGAGTACACTTAAAGATTTCATTCGAGACTTCCACTAAATACATTTTCCTCTATTTTTAAGACGAGAGAAAACTTAAAATCAGTTCCCGCCGAAAGTTCGGCTGTTAGCGGTCAAACGTTATCAACCTTTCTGGAAAAAGACAACAGTTAAACATATTAGCGTATCCCTAGAAGCATAATTACGCTATTTATATTTCCGACTAGATGAATCATTTAACAAGGCATATCAAATTTACATGCAATTGAAAATCCCAGGCATTTAGATAACCTAAACATGTTAGACAAATGCGTACCACTGATTATTTTAAAGGGGATCTTGGGTCAGAGTACAAATTATCAAAAACTCCCGAAGCTGACGACGTAATTCCCAATTGCTTAACTCAGTTATGAATTCTAATTTAGACGGTCGTCTGTGTATTGTTTTTGTTACCGACCCGAGAATATCTACCCGATTCGTATTGACATCTACATGATAAGTGCTAGAAAACAAAATCTGCAACATTTGACGGCCTGCCAAGCTTGCAAATTCGATGATCGACCTTCATTTTTGCATCAAATCCAGTTTTAACGTGTCCACTAATTCAGACTTCAGAAGTCAAGGTTTAACCGCCCTTAACGCAGTTGATCGACAAGTACCCTTTGCAGTCTTCCCATCTTAGGCAGAAGAGTATTTTTTTAAAAAACCAAAGGTCTTGAGAGATAGTTATTTGTCTTTTTGGCTGGAAGTGAATATAAGCAGGAAACCACGGTGTTCTGTCTCACTCTTCATCGAAGCGAACATTGTACCCTTGAGTCATGGGGTCGGTCCTGTGGAATGTGAATAAAACGGTAGGATTAGTCGGGGGCTTCAGAAATGCTCCAGTGTGTATTTGAGTTAGGTTTACTACATGAGGTGAAATGAGGTAGAACAGATTCCGCTTGTGGGTTTGGCCCGTCCACTTGTCAAATATTTCTTAAGTTGCTATTCTTGGAGATTTATGCACATGTTAATAATAGAGGTGTACTTTGCTGGGTGCTTCTCCAAGTTTATTGTAGAACATTTCTACTGAGTGAAACCGTTGTCCGCTTGAGTGCTGCTAGCTACCCATATGCAGGTTTCACAATACTTTTTGCGGCATCATGTCCCGTCAAGCCTGTCACAAAATACCCTTTTAGATAAAATCCTAATGTCTACGTGAGCAGATCGACCCGGGAGATCTCCACAGAATTTCGAGTATTACAATTCCCGGTAACGTTTTCCCGATCTTTTTGGTTTTAAATGAAGGCCAGTTAAGAGATTAATAAAAGTATCAAATGTTCGGTGTAAGTTACGTTAAAAATCTAATGGTACTTACGACGATGCATAAGTGAGAACATGTCCTAAATATTTCAAATATACGCGTCGGCGCGCCGACCTAGACCAAAATTTTGCACCGAGGATAAAAACGGTCCACGCAACGACGTCAGGTGAGTAAGGAGAAGAACAATATTTAACTCAATGCCACGGGATGTTTCTCAATTTCAAGGGTACTGTTGTTCTGAAAACGTTTACGGAGCAGATAAACACTTACTTATATTTAATACGCAATCTCCACAAGTTTTTCGATTTCAACGACACGCTCATCCAGACACCCATCCCCACCTTGCACCAAAATTAAGATTAAATAACGACAAACCAAAATCTAAATCATTAATGTCACAACGATAAACACGTTCTCCGTTGACCCAAACTTCTACTATATTCCTGACGTTAGGTATTTCCGTAAAGGTAACAGTATGACCCTTCAGTTCAAGCCATCCTTATAGTTCATGAACTAAAGTAACGCTCACTTCTCAGACCCTCGAGCCTATGCATTCGGAAAAGCACGATACCACATGACTCGTACGCGGCGTATTTCACCGTGACATTCGCATGGCGCGGCATTGATTGACCGCCGTATCCATTGGCAATAATCAAGGTCGATCATGCAGCTTTGCAACATAGAAGGTATTTTGGCGTAACAGGTAGTCAGAACGTCAGATTCATCAAAAATCGAATTTATTACCCCAAAGATCTTCATGAATATTTAGCCCGAGTCAATCACTAGAACGGTTAGAAAAAATGGGGAAGAAGTATTGAGTGGTCTGGATCTAAGAAGTTTCAACTACACACACATTCGGAAACATTAGAGTAATAATGATAGAAATGATGGTTTTAACAAGCGCCCGCTAGGCACAACGAATGCACATGGAACCCTGATTACACTCACGAAATATGCGCCGTCGTGTTCGCTCAGAATTTTGCACGGACAACGACATGGGTGGAAGGGACGTCAGTATCTGTCAGTATTTTTAGAGGGTTATAGGCACTGCCTTCGAAAAGCCTATTGAAAATGGTAATGCAATATCTAACTTTAAATAAACACGGTGCTATACACTTAACAGAATACTTTCAGTAACGCGCAGGACCGAACTCGAGAACACTCAGCTGTAGGTGATAACGGTAAAATGGAATGACAATTATTCGCATTATTGGAAGGCACATCTTAAGCCTTGGATTAGTATAACACACCTTTTCCGTTCGGAAAAGCGGCATTTTACAGGCAAATATATATCAAATCATTGTTTAAATGTTTCCATAAAATCTGCCATTATCACGTCCCCAGGAGGCCCGTTCCAGGCAACGACGGCTGGTTGTGAAAAAAAATATCTGCGAACGTCCAGACGGCATCGGGATCCTCAAAGGTTAAAAGAGTTCCCATGCAGGTTTGTTGTTCTGGCCAAGGAGAAGAAATCTTCGAGGTATAGGGCACAGTTCCGTTCCTCAAAATCCGGTATGCCTCTAACAAATCTCCTCGGATCTGCCTGTACTCATTAGAAAATAAATTGAGCTCACCATGTCCGCAGTTTATGCCTTTCAGTCGGAGCCGTTAACAATTTTGCTCGTTCTCCTCTGAACTCTTTCCATGTATTGGACTGCAAGATTGTCATGTTTGCTGACGATATAAAGCTGTGGACCGTCGTCCGCAACGACGACGATAAAGCGAATTTACAGGCAAACTTAGACCGACTCGAAAAATGGTCAAGCCACTGGCTCCTCCCATTTAATGTTACCAAATGCAACATTCTGAGGATTGACAGAATCTGCTCTGCGCACCGGCAGACGTACTATCTAAATCACACATTGCTGCCACTGGTAGAGGTTCAGAAAGACCTAGGGGTGTGGATAACATCTTCACTAAAGGCATCATTCCACTGCTTGAAAGCAGCGAAATCCGCAATGTCCAGCTTATATCTCATTAAGCGGGCATTTGCCAAGTTCGATGAAGAGTGCTTCCGTAAGGTCTTCGGGATGTTTGTGCGCCCACAGTTAGAATTTGCCATTCAGGCCTGGAGACCCTGGACTGTTAAGGATCGTACCACCCTCGTAAAAGTCCAACGACGGGCAACCTAGCTTGTCAGAGGTCATAAAAACCTACCTTACGATACCAGACTTTCAAATCTTAACCTCTTTCCCCTGGACTACAGACAACTCCGTGGCGACTTAATTCAAACGTTTAGAATGTTACGGGGTCAGGACTGCTGCCTCGCATCCGGCGACTTCTTTGAGCTGGCCACCACTACTAGCTTGAGAGGACACCCTCTGAAACTACGTGTGACAGGAGCGAGACTGGACGCAAGGAGGTCCTTCTTCAGCCACAGAGTGGAAAAGGCATGGAACGCCCTACCTGTGGATGTCGTCATGTCCTCATCCGTGGACTCATTAAAGAGAAAGCTTGACCAGTACAGGGATATGTACCTCCACAGCATCAGAAACCAACGAATTCCCCTGTGCCACCCGCCCCATCCAAAGTTTTATTTTACAAAGCCTGCTACTCCCTATATTTTAGTAACATTACGTTTTACAATTTTCGCTATCTCCTGACCGCCACATATGCGCTTGCTTTGATATTACTTGGTCCATTCATTGTCGTACTGGATATTGTACAATTTTGACATAGAAGGCATTCACAGACAAATTCATACCAGTGACCAATGCTTGTTGTATGTAATTACTTACCTAATTTTTTTCACACTTGCCTTACACATTGTTTTTTTATGACGTTATTGTAACCAAAAGAGAGTTCAAAGGCGCTCGCCTACTTTTCCCTTAATAAATCTGATCTGATCTGATCTGAACTTATAGTCTTTTTCAGCCCCGGCCGCCACTCTTGGTTTCGATATTCTAGATGCGAACAAATGAACGCTCCGTATACTTTTCTAAATAACTCTTTGTCTATATTAATGAAAATTCTTTTAATGGCAAAGATAACACCAGTTGCCCTTTTGGCCACCCTAACGCATTGAGAGGAGGGCTAAAAAGTCGACAAAATGATAATCCCAAGATCGTTTTCGGTCATATATGAAAGACACCTTTCGACAAGCATGTAATGATGATCCTTTCCATCGACTCTTCCATCCGTTTTCAGTCGCTGTGCGACGCATTTCTCAAGTTTGAATATTGGCAGAAGGAGTGATTTCGTCGAAAGCGATGCTGGGAACTGGCAAAGAAATTCTTTACTTCAAGGAAGTTCAAAATGGTTTTTTGTCAAATCTCTCCATTACTTTGCAACAAATGTACGTCAGTCTTACTGGCCGATAATTGTTCTAGATCCCCCTTGTAAATGGGGTATATATTCGCCACTTTCCAATTAGAGGGGAGAATGTCTCGGTCAAACGACGACTGAAAAATATGTAAAAGGGTCTGGCGAGTTCGCAAGCTGATATAAAGTATTAGCATCCGCACAGTTTTGGTTTTGAATATACAAGTTTTGTGATTATGATATCGAAAAATAAAAATTCTGGAGTTCTTTTTACAAGAAATAACTGGGTGCCGGTCTAATAAGTAAAAAACGCCCAACGCAACGACCTCGCGACATCCCAGGAATGCGAAGGGTTTTCGGTGATTTATTTAGTAGAAATATGCCATGAAAAACAAAATAGAGGTGCAGAACATTTTCATCGAATAAGGGAACCTTAAAGCGACATGCACATAATCAATTGCTTGTTGTTTAACGATCATAATATTTCCATGAAGTCCAGAAGATCGGGTGTCCATGGTCTTCATCTTTTGCTTTTTCTTTCGGAAACACTAAATACATTCTTTTTTTATTAAAGGCAGCGGGAAAAGCGATTTGGGAATAGAAATGAGTGCGTGAAGGCGAACAAGAACGCTTCTGCAGCGTTCGAAACGAGGGATGTATTCTGAACCCGAATATCCTTGACGAGGTACAGCGTGTTTGGCTCAGTTTCTGAAAAAATATAAGGACACTCATACTTTGGTTCGTCCAAAACAACAGCGTTCTAGGTTCGTATTGGGACTTTTACTTTTAGTCTACAGACCTGCGATGAGATTGCCATCCTCGCGGTCAGAAATGAACCATGAACTAGTCGGTCGCCAAGCAAAAAGTAGGCGGTTTGAAGTGTGTGTTTGTGCTTTTGTGCCCCCAAATTGGCCAAATGTTAGATGCGCTGGACAAACACGGGGCCACATCGGATTCTGGCAGGCATTATCTGTGCGCAATAACAAATGCCAACATTCACGGGGTGCGCTGGCAGACCTTGTTATCGGCAGTCGTCGCACAACTGGACCACTGCTATCATCCCATTGTTTTGTGGTTAATATCCCCGGGCTCAGGCGGGGAAGGAGGAGAGCGTGTGGTGGGTGCAGCGCAAGTAACCGCCCCTGCTCCCATCACTGCTAAGGTGGGGCATACGGTGGACATAATCGGATCCGACGGTCGAACTATTTTGTGTGTGTGTGTGTGCGTGTGTGTGTGAGGTGTGTAGGAGTGTCTAGACGAGGCTCCGCCTAGTACGCCGTTAGTCAGCCGGTGGGATGGACCTCTGCATAGACATCACCGAGACGCGCCAATCTGCGCCGTAGGAGACCGGGGGCTTATGGCGATGTCGTAAGCCATTGGCAAATTCGGGTCGTTCTTCCACTGCCAACAAAATTTCTTGGCCCACAATGGAGTTCGGTCGTGCCGGCACATAAGGGCAGCCCTATTCAGGGGTGGCACTGCCTGCTGCATGCTCTCAGGAGGGGAACGGCCTAGAAAAGGTGGCCTAAACGTTGCTGGGCACCATGCCGTCTGCAGGCTAACTGTGGTCGCAGATGTAAAACTCACGGTCGAAACAACCAAAATCGAAACAATAACAGCAACGGCAACAACAACTCTCCTTCTCTTCCTCATCGTGCCTCTTCTCCCTCTTCCTCTGCCTATTCTTCTCCTCCTCCATCCCGCCGCCTCACTTGCCGCCGCAATCTCCTGACTGGCAGGGTGAGTCTGCTCACTCTGGCAGCCTAGAATGTTCGTTCCCTGTTAGACAATCCGAAGAGCAACCGATCGGAACGGAGGACAGCACTAGTGGCCCGGGAACTGACGCGCTACAAGATGGACATCGCCACACTCAGTGAGACCCGATTCTCTGAACCGGGCCAACAGGCGGAGGTGGGTGGGAGCTACACCTTCTTCTGAAGTGGTCGACCACGGCCAGAAACACCAGACGGGGGTGTCGCCTTCGCTATTCGAAATGACATCGGGGGACGACTGCCCTGTTTGCCGCAGGGCATCAACGATCGCCTGATGAACCTCCGTCTGCCTCTCCCGGAGGGGGGGGGGCAATTCGCCACCATCATCAGCGCCTACGCTCCGCCTACGCCCCTATTTCTTTACGGCATTTATTGCGCTGATCCTTATATTCGGCGAATGACCTTGGATCTTGGAGTTACAAATACTTATTCCAGAGTCACTGTTTCTTCTTCATGGTTTTTTTGTCGTCGGATTGACCCACGGCGGTCGCATACATGGTTTTGTCATTTTTATTGGACAATGGGAATCAATCGGACGCTCTATAATCCCGCGAAAGTACTGCCAAAATTCGTCTGAATTTCCTGTGTTGACCAACCAGGTTTCCTTCAAAAGAGTGCGTCTCATTGCGTTAAAGTCACCCTTACAAATATTTCTGCGCGTCTTGATTTTTGGTTGTTGGTTCGATAGAAGAGAGCACACGCAGGTAAAAGCAATATGATCGCTTAAACCTAGTGGAGGTTGTGGATTCACTTCCTTTATGAGTCCTTCTTCTTTACAGAAAACGAGATCTAAACAGTTAGATCATTGTCCTTCTCTCAATCTTGTTCCGAATTTTATGTGCTGAATGAGGTATTCATTCTGGGAGTGTTGTAGTAGCTTGTGGTAAAATGACGTGGATGGCGCATTTGTTAGGGGAATGTTCCAGTCTATTCCTGGAGCGTTGAAGTCATCCGGAAGTAGTAAGTTCTCCTGCTTACATAACAACTCCAGTGCACTAAGCAATTCCATATCGGCGAATTCATTCGAACTGGGAGGCCGATAGACAACACACAGGTTCAGTGTCGGTAATTGTTTGATACATATCTTGCATAAAATTATTTCAAAATTTCGGGGCGCACCATCGGAAATTTCTCGTTGGCAGCACACAATTTCATTTGACATATAAATAGCTGTGCCTCCTCCTCTACCGTGAAATCTGTCACAACGGAACAGTTGGTAGCCTTCAATTCTGACTTCGCTACTACTAATTTCCTCAGTCAAGCATGTCTCTGTAAGGTCAATTATGTGTGGCTTACCATCGCCTCGTCATCTCGAAGATGCGTATTCGCCTACAGCCTCGCAGGAGACCACAAGGTAAGCGATCCCCAGGTAAGCTGAATATTGCCTTGTTGGATTTGCCCGCTCACCATCTCCATTTCAGCACTGAGCAAGGTCAACGGCTAGACAACTTTCCAATCGCTGCCGCCGCCACCGACGCCGGCGATGCCGAGAACGCCTCCGTGGAGAACGGCTGATGCCAATTGCGAGGCACAATCCAGTCGGCAGTGCTAGCCGTCCTCGGTCGCGCACGCCGCCAACACCAGGACCGGTTCGAAGACAACGACGTCCTCGTCAGCAACCTGCTCGCCGAGAAGAACCGCCTACACAAAGCTTACGTAGACCACCTTACCGACGAAACCAGAGCTGCATTCTACGCGGTCGCCGCCAGCTTCAGCAACGATTGTGCGAGATGCAGAACGCCTGGACTGCTCGCAAGGCTGAGGAGATCCAAGGGTACGCGTACCGAAACGACCGGAAGAACTTCTTCCATGGGATTAAGCCTGTCCAGGGTCCACCGTCTAAAGGCACGGCTCATTCCCTCAGTTCCGACGTCAGTACCCTCATGACCGAGAAGACACAAATTTTATAGCGATGGATCGAGCACTTCTGAAGCGTCCTCAATCGCCTCTCCACCATCTCCGACGCCACGATGGCCCGCTTGTCGCAAGTGGAGACCAAAGTGAACCTTAAACTCCCACTATCTCTCCAGCAGACCATCACGGCCGTGCAGCAGCTCTCCAGCGGGAAAGCACCCAGATCGGACGCGATTCCTTCTGACGTTTACAAGCACGGAGGTCCCCAACTGATGGATCACCTGACTGCACACTTCCAGGAGACGTTTCGTCAAGGCGAAGTCCCGCAAGATTTCAAAGACGCAACGATTGTGCATCCATGCAAAAGAAAAGGAAACCGCCAAATCTGCGACAATCACCGCGGCATCTCCCTACTGAACATCGCCGGGAAGATCTTCTCTTGCATCCTTCTCAACCGCCTCAAAAACCATCTCGAACAGGGTCTACTACCGGAAAGCCAATGCGGCTTCCGCCAACGTCGTGGGACTACGGATATGATCTTCGCCGCTCGTCAACTTCAGGATAAGTGCCAGGAGATGCGAACCCACCTGTACTCTACCTTCGTGAACCTGACAAAAGCGTTCGACACGGTGAATCGTGAAAGGCCGTGGAAGATCATGCAGAAATTCGGCTGTCCCTAGCGATTCATTCAGATGGTGCGTCAGCTCCACGACGGCATGATGGCGCGAGTCACGGACAACGGAGCTGTCTCAGAGGCATTCGCAGTGACCAACGGAGTGAAGCAGGGATGCATGCTGGCGCCTACCCTCCCCAGTCTTATGTTCTCTGCCATGCTGATGGACGCCTACCGTGATGAACGCCCCGGGATCCGCATTTCCTACAGGACGGACGGTCACCTCCTGAATCAACGATGGGTGCACTTCCAATCGCGCGTATCCACAACCACCGTTTACGAACTCCTCTTCGCCGACGACTGCGTCCTGAACACCACCTCGAAAGAGGAGATGCGACGGAGCACGGACCTCTTCTCCGCCACCTGCGAGAACTTTGGGCTGGTTATCAACACGCAGAAGACGGTGGTCATGCATCAACCGCCACCCAACACAGCCACTCCTCCCAACGCGCCGCCGCAAATCAGCGTGAACGGAACTCAGCTGCAAGTGGTGGAGAACTTCTTGTAACTGGGCAGAACCCTCTCCCGCAACACCAAAATCGATCACGAAATCGCCCGCCAGATTTTGCAAGCCAGTCAAGCTTTCGGTCGCCTCCAAAGCACACTTTGGAATCGTCATGGTCTTCAGCTGAGCACGAAGCAGAAGGTGTACAAGGCTGTCATCCTGCCGACGCTGCTGTACGGACGGAGACTTGGACAGTGTACACAAAGCAGGCACTTCGACTGAACCACTTTCACCTCAGTGTCTCCGTCGCATCCTGAGACTGAGCTGACAGGATCGCATTCCCGACACTGATGTACTGGAACGGACGGGAATCCTCAGCATCTACTCCATGCTGAGATACATATGGCTGCGTTGGAGCGGCCACTTGGTGTGCTTGGACGACGAGTGACTAGCCAAACGACTCTTCTACGGAGACGTCGCGACGGGTTCTCGCCGCCAAGGAGGCCAAATTCGCCGATACAAAGATAATCTGAAGTCCTTCCTGAAGCGTCTGCAAAATAACCTGTCCAAATGGGAAGATCTCGTTAAGGACCGAGCGACCTGGAGGATGAGGAGGAGGAGGACAGTGAAGACAGGCGCTGCGATCTACGAGGCCAACCAAATCGCCGCTGCCAAAGTGAAACGCGAAGCCTGCAAATCACCATTAAGAACACTACGCAACGCCGATTCACAATCGCTTTTAACGTGTCCTTGGTGTCAACGGATATTCCGAGAACGAATCTGGCTTAATAGTCACCTTCGGATCAACTGCGCCTCTTGGACCACAACAACCATTGTCCCTCCTCCCGCCTCATCCTCGTCCTCTCCGCCGCCAACTAGCTCTTCTGAACCACCACTTCCATACTCCTTCTCCTCCTCCTCCTGCTTCTGAACCCCTTCCCCCTTGTCCTCGTCCTCCTCCAATTCCCCATCCTCCTCCTCTTTCTACCCTACTGTCCCACTGACGGCTGCTCTGACGGCCGTCACGCAAACCAGCGTCAAACACATCCCTGACACTACAACAGACACCATCCCTCCATCCTCCGACTCCAGAGGTGAGGACCAGAACTACACCTGCCCTCACTGCGACCGCACCTTCACCTCTCGCACCGGGCTGGTCAGTCACATGCGAATCCGTCGCACAGAGGCTGACGGACCAGTGCCTGGAACATCAACCTACACCTACCGAATTCTCCTCCACTGACCACATTGCCCTCGCACCTTCACGCACCGCATGGGCCTACTCGGCGACTAGCGCGTCGATGAGGGCGAAACTGACGGCAGCCCCGACACACCCACCACATCCAACACACCCACCATGCCCAGCTTCATCCTCGCTTCATCGCCCGGTGCGCCCATCACCGTCACCACGATCACCTCCCCCGTAGCCGACACCGACCCCGTCGACTTCTAATGCCCAGACTGTCCCCGCGCACTCCCCTCTCGCACCGAGCTGGTTGGTCACTTGCGAATCCATTGCACAGAGTCTGCCGAACCGGTGCATGGGACGCTCATCCACACCACCACACTCGCCCCCACTTCCCAAACTGTCCTCGTACTTTCAGGCACCGTATGGATATATTCGGCCACGTTCGCATCCACGAACACCTGCGGTAGACAACCGCCTGCTGCACCACACTATCACACCCTCCTTCCCTGCCTCACTACCACCACCCTACTACACATCAACACTCACCCACCGCAAGTACCCAACTGCCAGCTCCCACGCAAGTGGGAAGTGTGGATCTCGACTCGGTCCCCATGCAGCTTCTGCTGCACGGGTGACTTGAGTCCGAGACTATCCCGACACTCCAAGCGTCATGGATAGAAAGGCTGCTTATTGATGCACACACTCGGTCCACGCAGTCCGTCCCGTTGTGTGTGTGTTGTGTGGAATGACAGACCGGTGGACTGGTGGGCTGAGAGACGGGCTGAAACAGCAACTTCCGCGACCCTCTCACGCAAGTGAGAGGGCAGCCGTTCAACCCCCGTTGAGCGAAATCCTGGTGGGTGTCTAGGGGGCCAGGTTACGCACGTGGCGCACGCAGGCATGGTCACTCGAACAAGCCAGCCACAGCGCCCATTCCCCGCGCTCCATCTGCTGACCGGTTCGAACAGTGGCTGGTGTGTGGGAATGGGAAGGGAGAGTGATGTCTGTGTCTGTGTGTGTGCGCGCGCATGCGTGCGTGTGTGTGTGTTTGTGTCTGTGTCTGTTTCCATGAAAATCCGGATCCCTAGAATGAAGCACTGACTTCCACTGAGAAATCTCGAATCTCGAAAACCAAAACATAGTGAAATATATAGACGGAGAAAGTTTATTTGTGGGCGGCCCTCACACGTGGTGCATAATTTAACGGCCGATGTTTCTTTCATGATGAAAGGCCCTGGGAAACGACGAGAAATTTAATAGGTCGTCGATTCCGTGTTAAGATAATGGCGATGTCTTCTTTTGAGGACAGATGAGATTTTTTGATGACTTCATATCGACTAATCGGTTATTCCAGAGGAAAATATACTTGGAAGAAAAAAGTAGCAGGCGTCTAATAATGAAGGTGCAGGAGGTATTATCGTCAATGAAGAATGACAGATGCTGTAAGAATGAACTTCATGGGTGGATGGCTGAATCCCAGTGAAGACTCCAACGACAGTTCGACCGTCGATTTCGACGATATCCACCGTGTGCCCCACAGACCGCACCGTGGGAGCAGGGACGGTGACTTACGCAGGGGTTTATAGTGCCAGTAGACTTGCGTAGCATCTACCTACACTCTCTCCTCCTCCCCCGCCTGGGCCCGGTGTCAAGACCAAGTCAAGAAGACCGGAGACGGGGGAGGCCGCAGGTGGATGGCTCGGACGGATCCTCGCCTTGGCGCTCCACTCCGCACCCCCTGGTCTACACACAAATGACCAGGATTTTGACCACAAAACAATGGGGTGGTGGCAGTGGTCCAGTTGTGCGACGAATGCCGACAACAGGGTCCGCCAGCGCACCCCGCAAATGTTGGCATTTGTTATTGAGCACATATAACGCCTGCCAGAGTACGATGTGGCCCCCGTGTTGGTCCAGATCATCTAACACGTGGTCCGATTTGAGGGCACGAAGACTCCAACTACTTGCATCAAGTCATACCTGTCTAATCGCAAACAAAAGGTTTTAATGTGATCTTCACTTTTACTTGTAAGCCCTATTGTAAGTGGTATCATACAAGGTCCTCCTTTGCTCCTGCTTTATATAAATGATATCTCGTCGGCAGTTAAACATTTTCAATCATTTATTTATACCGATCGTCTCCAATGTGTAAATTCATTTAATAAATCTGCGACCCTTCAGTGCCTGGAGCAAATCCATGCTGACTTGCTTGCTCTTTCAGTGTGAAGCTCAAACTGGCTAATGGAATTCTTTACGTCTACATGTCGCTATATGTGTTTTGTACGTGATAGTTTAGCACATTCAGTGTTCTTCCAAGGTACACCCACGACTGCATGTACCACTATCAAGGACCTAGGCTTCAGGTATAAATAAATGATTGAGAATGTTTAACTGCCGACGAGATATCATTTATGTAAAGCAGGAGCAAAGGAGAACCTAAAGACACAGACCATGGGTTCAGTCTGGATATTTTTGCCCGTAGCTTCATCGAGTAACTACAGTGATTGAGTGGAAGTTGCCACTGAAATATGTCCGTAAAGCTAAGTTCACGCTCATGGTCATGTATGTTTTTGTTGATCGTATAACATTACCCTGTTTTGCTGACTGTAACACAGAGGGAATACATTAAGTGACCGATGTCATGAAATGTTGGCTGAAATTTTGAAATGAGTTGTCGCTTAGAAAGGTTTACTTAAACGCGGTTGTAATACTGATTATCTTGCGGAATAATCCTATAATAGTTCGGACTCGACTGGATGTCGGCCTTTGAATAAGTGCTTTTTAAACTCCTGTAGAAACCGTACCTGGTAGAAAATGACTACATATAGCATGCATTTTTCCCGTTGATTTAAGATGATCTTGCAAATTTAAATATATTTTATGGAAACCACAAACAAAAATATGCCTTCTATCAGTCCTTTGACAGAGAATCACGTCATCTTTATATTCGAAGAAGGAGTATAATTAGGTTTTAAAAAGTTTTCTAATTGGCGAATAATTTGGAGCTTGCTTAGTAGTTGCATTAGCGTCAAGTGATTTCCCTCTACAAGGTGCATGCGCGCCGCGTAAGTGGAATCACACATTCTTCTATGTCCTCAAGAAGATACCATATTGAGTACACAAAATTTTGAAATGGATGAGGACCATGTTGTACATTTCATGAGAAGCTGTGATAAGCAGCCAGGTACGATACTATGTGAATAGACATTGCGCGGCCTTAAAAATCTCATAAGTATAAACTTTTTAAAACCCTTATTATATTCCTTTTTCGAATATTAAATATAAAGATGACGTGATTCTCTGTCAAAGGACTGAAAGAAGGAATATTTTTGTTTGTGGTTTCCATAAAATATATTTAAATTTGCAAGATCATCTTAAATCAACGGGAAAAATGCATGCTATATGTAGTCATTTTCTACCAAGTACGGTTTCTACAGGAGTTTAAAAAGCACTGCATTCAAAGGCCGACATCCAGTCGAGTCCGAACTATTACAGGATTATTCCGCAAGATAATCAGTATTACAACCGCGTTTAAGTAAACCTTTCTAATCGACAACTCATTTCAGAATTTCAGCCAACATTTCATGAGATCGGTCACTCACTGTACATTATGGCAGTCCACTCGTTTTATGCTGGATCACTTTTTAAACCCTTTATCAGTTTTGTTGCACGGCCTTATATTTTTTTAGAGGCATGTTTTGTCCTTTGTTGGCCATGGCCGCCACGCTTGTATGCCATATTCTAGATGAAGACGAACAAAGATGCCGTAAACTCTCCCAAAAGTTACTTTTTAAAGATCACAATCCTCCTGTCGATCGCATGGAATTCTCCCATGGCGTTTTTTGCAGCCTTCGTGTACTGCAGTGCTGGTTTCATGATGATCTGTATCCAAACATCGAGATCCTTCTGCGAGGATTCTGCGGGAGTAGTAATGCCTTTCAGGTGATGAGCTCTCGTGCTATGACTTGAATGACAGTTAGTTCGACGCAGATGAAGGATGGCACATGTCCGCCCATTGGAATTCAGAAGCCAATTCTCGGACCATGTTTTCAGTCGATGCGGATTATCTTGAAAGGCTCTCTCATCATTCGGACCTTTAATTAATGGCATAGCGTAAACCTTATTTTGGCGCAGTCGAATTTTTAAAGAATGTCATTAACGTAAGGAATGAAAAGTGAGGGTCAGAAAACTGAGCCCTGGGACACACCACTAGTAACGTTCACCCAGCCTGACATATCATCTCCGATACAGACACGTTGTTTCCGACCAATCAGAAATGCCCGTTTCCAGTTCAGAAGATCTCCTCGGATGTCGCTGGCGCAACATTTATGGAGAAGGTGTCTGTGCGGGACAGTGTCAAATGCTTTGCGGAAATCGATGTAGGCGACATCAACCTCAAAGCTCTCTTCCAAAGCCCGGGTCCAGATCTCCATACAAATTGGCAGATTTGAGAAGCGGGAACGTCCTCTCCGGAAGCCATGTTGAATATCCCGCAAGATGCCATTTTCTTCACAAAACTGCTGTATAGCGCTCTTTACTATAGCTTCCATCGTTTTGCAAGGGAGGCAAGTTAAGCTAATAGGCCTAAAGCTGCTTGCTGTCATCCTGCTACCTCCCTTATGCAATGGAACGAGGTAAGCTGTCTTCCACTGTGAGGGCAACCTCCCTGTTCTAATTGACAGCTCAAAGAGAGTCGAAAGAGGCTTTGACAGCTCCGTCGATAGCTCCTTAACTATCAGCCGAGGAATTCCGTTGGGTCCAGGAGACTTATCTGGTTTTATTTGACTGAGGGCGCGTCTTACGTCTTCGACGGAAAGGGCAACGGTTTCTACGAAGGCAGTATCTTAGCGCATTTGGGGCTCTCGGCTGTCTTGGCCTATTTCAAACTCCCGATTGTCTTCAGAGGACTGTTCCACATAAACCGATCGAAAAAACTGAGACAGTCATTGCACTTTCTGTGACCCTTCAACTGATACATTTCCGAGACTATCCTTTAGATACCCTATTTCATCCGTATGTTTTCTCCTACTGCGGATGTACCCGTAAAACTTCTTGGGACATGTAATGGATTCTGCTATCATTCGGCGCTCGAAAGAAGCTTTAGCAACCCTTAATTTTTTGCTGCAATCATTGCGTTGCTCCTGATATTCGACGAATGTTATAGGATCTTGAAGATGCAGATACATTTTCAACAGCCTCTGTTTCTTCTTCATGGTCTTTTTCGTCATCGGAGTGACCCACGGCGGTCGCGCACATGGCCTTGTTATTTTTATTGGACAGTGGGAGACAATTTAGCGGTCTATAATCCCGCGAAAGTACTGCCAGGATTTTTCTGGGTAACAGTCGGGAGATGGCACCCAAAAAATCCGTTACCTAGAAATAATACCAGTGGACTCAAACGAGTTCTGGCCATATCAGCGGTTGCAGGCCTACTTTCACGCACTACTTGGACATTCGGCGACGGTCTAACATGGGCTGGCCGAACGAACATCGCAGGAGTTTACATGGATGATGGTCGCTGTTACCCAACCTTCTCCATCGTTACACATGTACAACTGAATATACGGCATACATTCACATTATGTCAGTTTTTTACAAAACAGGATCACTTTTAAATAGAATAAGTCTGCACAACATGGGACAGGAACAGTTCCCAGGCATCTGTCAAAGAAATGACATTGAGGCCAAGCCAAAGACGATACTGTACTTCGTCTATGTGAGCCCACACAGTTCGGCCACATACAGGGTCTCCGTCGTGGAGTTTCCTTTTCGGTCTACTCCAGTATGCCTCAATGGCATTGGTGTACCGTTTGGTGGTAGGGTCCTTGAAGTTACTTGAGTGGTTAACAGAGAAATATAGATAACCTTCTGAGGGAAGACGATTATACGCCTTTCACTCGTCCGTTACCACTATACTGCCTTTGGCGCCCCATTTTGTACTAACGGAAGGGAGAGCGGGCCAACTTCGATCATTCACCTGATCAAATAAGGCTTTCCGTCGGCTAGTATCGTACATCCTGAGCAGCCACCAGCCATAAAACCCCTATTGCCACCTGTCCCATAAGTCAGGCTGCTTTGGTTAGTCGGATCTTCTTGGGTGCCATCTCCCGATTGTTACCTTTTTCTGAATCTTCCATTTTGACTAACCAGGTTGCCTTTAGAAGAGCACCTCTCATTGCGTTAAAGTCATCCTTCCAAATATTTCTGTGTCTCTTGATTTTTGGTCGTTGGTTCGATAGTACAGAGCACACGCAGGTAAAAGCAATATGATCACTTAAACCGAGTGGAGGTTGTGGCTTCACTTCTCTTATGATTCCTTCTTCTTTACAGAAAACGAGATCTAAGCAGTTAGATCGTTGTCCTTCTCTCAATCTTGTTCCGAATTTTATGTGTTGAATGAGGTATTCATCCAGAGACAGTTGTAACAGCTTGCGGTCGAACAACGCGGATGGAGCGTTTGTAAAAGGAATTTTCCAATCTGTTCATGGGGCGTTAAAGTCACCTAGAAGTAGTACGTTCTCCTGCTTACAAAACAACTCTAGTGCACTGAGTAATTCCATATCGGCGCTTTCATTCGAGCTTGGAGGCCGATAGACAACACAGAGGTTAAGTGTCGGCAGTTGTTTGATACTTATCTTCATGAAATTACTTCAAAATTTTGCGATGTCACATCGGATATTTCTCGGTGACAGCACGGAATTTCATTTGATACATAAATCGCTGTGCCTCCTCCTCTACGCAGAAACCAGCCACAACGGAACACTTGGTAGCCTTCAATGCTGACTTAGCTGCAAGTTATCTCCTCTGTAAAACATGTCTCTATTAAGACAATTATGTGCGGCTTCTGTTCAGAGACTAGTAATCTGAGTTCATCCAGCTTGTTGAGGAGACTCTGACAGTTAGTGTAATAGATTTCTAGACAGTGACCACTGGTGCTCACAACCTCAAAAGTCCGCCCCTTGACTTTGGTTAAACTGTCAGAACGACAGCCTTCGGCCAGAGGAGTGTCATTTCGACCTGAACTATATGTCCGTTCTTGATTTGGTGTGTATCACCGCTGCTCCTCCGCTTTTCCAGCTCCGTCATCAGTTGTCTCATTTTCAATCGCTCTTTTGACTCGTAATGCAGCTGAAAAATATTTGGGTATGCTGACCCCACCGATGTGATTTTCTCTCGATCAGGTGCTGTGTCTGTGCTTCAGTCTCCAAAATGACCTTTAGGAGTCGGTGCCGGGAATTTGAACCAGGCGCTGATCGAGTCTTCCCTCTTCGCAGGGCTTTGAGAACATTAAGTGTTTCGTCGTCTCCTAAAAAAGCTTTTGCATACAGTTTAAGGTCTAAGTCGCGTTTAACTCTCTACCTTGGAATTGTTACCGTTGATTCTGAGATTCCTTTTATAACTACATTTTGCTTGCGACTGTATCCAACGCCTGTTGTTGTCGCAAACGTTTCGACTGTCTGAGCGTTTTTTTCCGGTTTAATTGTTTCGATGGCTCCGGATGAATTAGCTATTGGACTAGCGAAACTTAGATCCGTGAATGATTCGTTCATATTCGTTTTGATAACACTTCCTTCTGTGTTTCCGTGTTGTTCGTCGAAAAAGCTAGCCTCCGTTTCCTTCGGAGTCTCCTCATGAATATTTTGGCCCACAAGGCGTTATACAGTTTTTAATGCAGAAATGGTCAGCACATAAATACTGACATTTTGCACAAATTGTTACCGTTTTGCCCGTTCCATTTATAAATTACAATTCACTGAGCGGCTGGCTGCAAGTGATCTTGATTGGACCAGAAGTCACAGTAAGACGAACATGTCTCAGAACCTGACCGGGAATGCTCATCCAACACACCCGGGTCAAACGAAAGGCTACGGATCTCAACTGCGTCATTTTTGGATGATTGAACATCCGTTTATGCGGATCCTCCGTACGGTGCATTCTACAGAATCTGACTGCGCCCTCACTCTCTGAAATCTCTACTTCGCATTTTCCATTATCTTGCGGCCACGAAAGGACATTTTTGCTGTATCTACGACCATGCGGGCACATCATCCAATTATGACGCATTGTTATGAAAATTCTTCATAGAAATTTCGGAATTTGACTTCAACATTAACATAATTTCTAGAGATTTTAAATTTTTTGAAATGGATTGGCTTTTGGACTTTTGCCAACCTAGATTTCGCTACTCCAAGATATTACTCTTTCCAGACGGTCGTAGTTGTTTTAGTGAGATTCTAGATCTGAACTTTACCGTTAATATCGTCCCTACACTCATTGATTTTAGACAGGAACTTCACGAACGCGACAGTGTGCCAATTCGCCGTTACCTTCTGCTTATCTTCCCGAGAAAGACCATCACAAAACAAACCTATCTAGATTTCGATCGCTTAGACGACAACCTAATCAAGAACACTGTTAGATCATTGCTTTGGCGCAGCCATTTCTCTAGGAATAATGTAACAATTGCTTGTGGCCTTACGTCGGTTGTTTCCAAAGGCATCTTAGAATCTTGACCATGCAGAAGTCACAAGTGTGCCTCTTCTGATTCCACGGTTCCTCAACTTCTTCCAAAAGATTAAACGAGATGAGGGGGTAGCTGTAAAATGTGTATGTCAATCCCTTATCTGTTTGCTTAAAATCGTAAAAATATTTCAACTGCCCTAGGAGATGGGTTATGCGTGAGACGGGCAGAGAGAATTCCTTGCACTCAGTGATCTTGACCCTGCGAAATCAATTGTACAAACTTTACGACGTCGATCTTACTCTAAACGCAATCACAATGCTCATCCTCTGCTAAATTACAAGAAAGCGTACGCACCGCTAACAGTAACAAGGCCGTATTTTCTAAAGCAATCTTACAAAGTATTTTACCGCTGAACTCCAATGATTTCTTCCTATTCGTTCGCTTTTTGACAGCTTTCTCCCTGTCACTGACGTCTCCTCCGAACTGATTCTGAAAAAAATAAGTCGTTTAAAAATTCACACTTCGCGGGATCGGGCGGTCGTAAAAGCTCGATTATCAAGAAGCTGTCCGACACTCCCTGGTTGCTCAGCCACCTGTTTACAGCTCGTATTTCAAAAGGATTCTTCTCCGAAACACGGAAGATATATCATCCTTCCTGTCCTCAAGTTAAAATCTTGGAGCGAAATTAATAAGTATTGAGGCATGCATAAAACTCTATTTCTGTCAATGGCTTTTTAAAAGACTGTTTACGATGAAATTCTTGATTTTTATCAGGCTAATCAGTGCCTCAGCTCTACTAAGCTTGGCTTTTAGCTGAATAATGTCCCCAACTTTCTTTACCTTCATCCCGTCGGTTCCTAACGAACAACAGTCAGTGGTGCTCGTGTACTGTGATCTTAGTAAAACCGTCGAAAGGGTGCTAAGTAGACGTCTTAAGTAAGACGGGAAGCCCTCAGAATCTAGCTTATACTCGACTTCATTTAGTTACTCATCTAACCGCTGTCAGAAGAAATAACCGAAGCTAGAAACTCCGAGGTGGTACAATAATGCCAAGCAAGAGGATAAAGTGGGAATTTGGACGCCGAACGTGTCAGCATTAAACACTTTACAGTCATTAATATTAAGCATTTCAAGGATCGAACCACAGAAAAACACACTAATGCGATTGAGGCCAATTGAAGCAGATTGAAACAGTGGCTCCACGAGAGAGGATCGGCGTCGGGTCGGGCAACATGGCTCAACAGAGACGAGATTCGATATCGTCTTTTGTTTAACGTAGACAGCATTGGCTTAAATCAGGCTTGGGAAATATTCCTGTGGCATATTACGAAAGCATATCCAGTGCAACAGCTTCCCAAATAGGGAACCTGAAGGACCCCTTCCTGAAGGCGACGTAACAACCGCTTGTAAGTAAATCTGTGCACATAAAGCCATAATTTAACTGTATTATTATGGTTTATGCGAGAGACTGCACACAAGTATTCTTGACGAGGTAAATAAGTAACAACGTAGGCGTCTGACAACAAAAACCATTTGGAGATGTCGAGGAAGCCGAGCGTTTGCGTCCTAGCCGAGGCGAAGTAAACCAACACGCTGCCGACGATCCTTAAACCACGCGTTGTAAGGTAAGTACCGATATGGCACAAAAGGCTTAACCACCCTTTTCGAAGAAATAGGTAAATCACAGTGCACGCAATCGACAAGGAAACGCAATGCGCATGCATTGAGAAAACTAGAAAATTAAGGTAAGACAACGGATCATGGAGAGCGGGAGCGGAAGCCGAAGGCTACCCCCTGCTAAGTAATCTATCACTGAAAATGTCACACTGAAATGACTCGGTGCATATGGTTATATCAGTGCACTAGATAACACCCAAGGAGAAATTTCACGTAACACCGAATCAAAAACTAAGAAAGGCCCACTTAGACGAATATAGCAGTTATTTATACATGTTCAACCCAGTGCTGTCACACAACTTATCCTTACCCTGACTTCCGTGGCCTCCATACTGCCGTTTTGTGGTGTCTTATGTGCGTCCGCAATGGGCACTTCAACTCAGCGATCAGTTCATCGCACAGCGCTGGTTCTGCTCACCAAAAATGGCCCACTTGGGACGCGCATATTCAGAACTCCTAAAAAGCGAGCCGATTACCTCACCTGTTTAAAATTTGAGAATAGTTTAAGTTCGTTTTGAACCCAGTACCTCTTAGGATTTGCTTTGTCGAATAGGACTGATCATGCGAATTTGTGCCAGCTCTCCTGAGGGAAACTTCGAAGAGGATCATCAACTAGATGGTTTAAACAGTCCTTCTCCCCGATACTCACGTTTAACGGTGGATATGTACGCCGAAACCGTTGCGGTCCTCCATCAGAGTGACAATTGCTTTCGTATTATCTCATAATGGGATGTAGTTTAATAAAACTACAGACAAATTTGGTGAGCGAAATTCAGCGAAAATTTAACATTTCAAAGATTTACACCACCGTGTGAATAGTTAGAATATACAAACAGGAAATTGTAGAATGCAAAAAGCAATCAGTCAGGTACAATCCACTAAAAGTCCAAAAGAAATTGCAGCCAATAATTTTAAAACAGCAAACGTCTGTCTGCGCCCGTTTAATTAAAAAGATGAGACCGGAGAGTGTCCCGATCCCTAATAACGTAATTTCCTCATAAGCATCGTTCCTTTAGCTTTGAATTTGAATTCAGCCGACATGCCGGGGTTTCGTGACGCAAACATGCTCTTATGCCCCGTTTCGCTCCCCGCCTACCCTCATTAGGTTCCCACTCTGGTCGCTGGGATGTCGTGGCCTTACCTCCTGTTAGTCTCAACCCATGTCTGCCACAACCCAGAAACCAAGTGGGCGTTTTGGACTCTTTTGCCCTGCCCCCCCCCCGACGAATACGCCCTGTTCTTTCATATCCCTTCGCGAAACAATCGTTTTTTCCTTATTATCTCGCCTGAAACCGCTGGTCCCCCGAACTCGACCCGCGTTTTGCAATGGGTTGTTTACTGATTCGCCTGAAAGTCGCCTCTATTCTACCTAGATCCTTCAATTTAGAAGTTGCAGGTATGATCGTCATCAGTAATATACTAATTCCGGTGATTTTCCTATTTTAAATAATGTGTTTTATAAATGTCACTGTCCGACTTGTTGCTCATGCAGAACACAAAGTCAGAATTATAGAGCATATTTTGCTCGCTTTGAGCTGAAAGTGCCCTCCGGGAACTTAATAATGCAACTGCTATAATTATTAATAATTGGTTGGCGCGCCATCCGTCGGGATGCCCCTCTAACACTATTTTGACCAAAGTCCGCCAAATAAGCGGGCAGGGAATACAACTGCGGATTGACAAAACCATGGCTATTAGAGGAAAATGCGCATAGGCCGGCGCTAACGACAGAACGGGTTAGTGGACATGTACAACAGTCCTCAATGGAGAGGTCAATTCAACGAAGTGAATTATTGAAAATGGTCTGATTTAGGCATATTTAAAAGGAAATGTGTAGCTGTGGGTAGCATAATCGTGGCTGATCGAAGAATCCAACTGGTTGTTTATGCGCAGTATACTCTATATTATTGCAGATATGATTAACTCTTCTACCAGTAAATGTAACAACGCCAGAAAAGGAAATTGAAGACGGTTAAGGCGTTGTTGTGGAAAAGCGGACCAGTGCGCGTGTAGAAGCCACGCCGGCGTCCAATTTTCCGGCTTCTGGCTGTCAAGCGACGGCCGGGCAAGCGGGCTAGCTTGAATAAAAGTTCTTCTTGTCCGGCTGCACCTACTAACTGACGCTATTTCACGCGCGTCGGCCGCGTGACTTTTCACCTGTGGCCCCTCGTGATCACGCGTCCCCTACCCACCTAATGGACCAACCACTCACGTCCAACACTCGGTCAATCACCTTCTTATACAGTCACGGACATGTAAGACCAGTGCAAACGGCACGTCGCTGTCCAAGCACTCTGAAACGGACCCCTTATTCAAAGGTTATGGCAACCCGCCCTGTGCACTGCATAACTCAGCTTTCACAGATCTCTGACTTCTTACTGTCCGAATTTATTGTGCGTGGTTAAACTCAAACTGATATCCCTGACTCCTACACGCAAAAGAAATCTCAGAGTACGTCTCAGTAATGTGCAGTCGCTTGTGTTTCCGCCTCAAGCGCACGAATTGAGTCCAGCATGGAATTCCTCCCCAACTCACATAACCGCGCTGTATCCCGTAAATCCGATACCTCTCAGTCGTTGAATTTTTCACAAAACACCCATAAGAACGGTGTCAGCATAGTCGATTTCCATTCATTCTTTTCCCGCATTAAATCTTGCTTTTGTAAAATTGCATGTCCCGCTAGCCTATGGAATACTTAAATTTTGCTGCGCATCCATTCAGACCTATCGAGTTATCCTCGCTGAAGAAATTGTCATGTTCCGTTTTACGAGCTTTATGGCGTGGGCCGCGTTCAAAATAATGTATGACGTGGACGTGTTGCCGAAATATCATCTCCGTGGTTCAGTAAGCACACACAATCTCCCATTGAACCTGTGTAATTGTCCGAATACCGGCAATTTCGGAAGCCCGTTTCAGAAGCTGTTGGTTTCATTTAAATCTCTATCTGCGTATTTTGGTCTACTGAGCGGAACAAGCAGGAGACAAGTCAGCCTTGCTTATAGCTGACGAAACGCGAATTCGTTTACTGTTCTCTTTCTTAATATAAATTGTCCTATCATCTCTAAATGAAAATCTCGGAAATAAAACCTATTGGTCATTTTTTACAAAAGGCATGAAATCTGAATAGGCCAGTATTTCAAGTATTCCCGAAATTGACCAAATAGGTGGAACTCCATCACACCCAAAACCATTTGAATATTATTAAAATATCCTAGGTTTCCATAACATTAAGATAAAGTTACAAAATTATCACGTTAGTTGGTTTCGAAATTGTTTTTTCAGATGTTTCTTAAATGCTTTGGGCAACGTGCCGGAGAAAAATGAGGCAGATAGTTCGCAGTATCCAAAATAGCCCATTTTGGCTCAGCTAGTTTCCTCCATCTGACCTGCAGATATCAGGTCGCAAGCCTGCTTATGGCGTGGCCAGTGCTTGACCTGGCACTCACGGCGACAATACCATTCTTGTCGACATCGAGAACAACGTTTGGAGGCCATTTCGCCGCAAACAACGCATCGAGCTGGCGGAAAAAGTGGATGCTGGAAGGAGTCATTGTTGGCATCTGTTTGTTCACTGGCCGAACTTCCAAAAATGGCTTCAACGTTCTCCTCGGTGAAAGCATCAGACCAACGAGTTGCAGCCCGTTTTGCCGCCTGTTGACCTTCCTTTGAGCAGATCCGTTGGAGGAATGTCTCGGCCTCTTCATCCCATTTTCCTTTGTATCTGTAAAAAATGTCAAAGAAAGGCAAAGTTAATTGGCTACGCAACCGAATTCTGTATTCACTGCCTGTAAGTTGATTTATCCAGACTTCCTAATAAAGAGGTTCGAACATAACATAGTGAGCTCCAACAATTATCCTGAATACACTAGAAAAGACACAGTAACTCGAAGCAAGCGTCTGACGATCAGTACAGAAGCAGTGCTTGCCATCGTTCACACAACAACTGTCAAAATCATGGGCAACAGTAAATGCTGTAAGTCCTACTCTGCACTGTGTACAAAAAACAGTAAATAGCGGGTGGTCGATGATATTGACAGTCAGAAGGAAATCATCCGCGCTGTTCATGTAATTTAACAAACCCTTTCATCTTACGCTTATTTGTTAAAACGACCAATCTGTTTGTGCAGACAGGTAACTGTAAATACCACTAAGATGCCACTAAGAATGTGCGATGTAGAGGACAAATTTTGGCAAAAAACACTGAATATGAAGCCTTTTGCTACAAATAGCCATTGATATTTTCACAGCTCGATGGGATCAGAATACTATTTTCAAATCTCTGAGGAGACAATAAAAACTGTTACAATGTACTGGTGCTTCAGGCAGAAAGACTGTAAGTTCATATAAATCAAACCATGTATGTGAAATTCGATGATCCACACCATTCGCCGACTACTGTCATGAGGGATTTTATTTAATACGCACCTATTCAGAAAAGCAGACATATGCGATATAAAAAAATTAAAATTTGCAAACTAGAGAGTGCGCCGCTTCTTAGTAAAATTGCTTTTACTATCCTCTATGTATTTTTGAAACAGACGAAACGATAAATGATTCTTCTACTGGTCAGTCCATAAAAATTTATCAGATCCTCGCGCATAACAGGCAATTTTTCAAGAAGGCTGCACTGTCATCGTGGTCAACATACAGCGTGCTAAACTGCGAAACGTATCTGTGGCAAATCGCTTCTAAAGCTATTTATCTCGAATGAGTTAATTTCGAATCGTATTTTCTCTGTACTCAGGCAACTAATTCAATATTCACTGAATTAGTAATTTTGCATATTCTTGCTTACTGCAAGATAACTAAGTGGAAAATTTTGAGTTTAGACGCTTTTATTTGCAGACGCATCTGCACGATTCACTTGGGCGATTTTGAGAAAAAGCCCTGGGTATGGACAGAAAAAGGCAAATAGTACATGGTTAGCGGCTCAAATCAGAGTATAAAAAACATGTTATACTTTATCCTTTGTTGCAACTGCATAATATATAGCTATTAAAATAGCCCATTTAGAGACAAAAATCAGCTTAATAAAACTTTCATCTAGTGCAATATTTGGCGACACTTGTCAGAAACGCACTTTTTGAGCAAGGTTTCCCAGTTTTCGGCTACCATCTCAATCTGACACATTTGGGCAAGTGCAGAGGCACTGGACTTTGAGTCTGCACGATAAACAACGGACTCAGAAACAGCGAATTGTTCAAGGAATCGACGCAGCTCGCACAAAACGGGAAGTACGTCAATGAGAACTTCCGTGAGATGAGGCCGTAAACGGAGGAGAGCTTGTCGTCGTTGATTTTCAGCAAGATCATAGTGCACTGAAGTAGTCAGTTCGGAGAAAACCAGTTGATAGATGCCAAGCCACACCTACAATAAATAAATGTTCAGAGACATCCCCTCAAAATACTCTGGGTGCATTTAGAGCACGTGGAATACTTGTAGACATTAGTTGCTTAGTTCAGCTCCCCTTTATAGGAGATGCAGGGCCAAAAGGATTCAATTTGTCCATCGACATTTTGTACGAAGCAAACTTGCTTCGCCTGCATAAAACTGACATTTCACTTGTCACATTCTAGCATAATCTCGGCATCATTAGAAACTATGCTAAAGAACAACTGTGCATCGGCAAATAGCCCTATACCTACAATACATTTGTCCGACTAGACCAAAAACAGACCACGTAATGTACGGACTTTACGGAAGTTCGGTTTTATAATTATATCATTAGTTTGCTGGTTTTGAGTGTTTAGAAGTCCATACGTGCATTTGGCTAAACGGAAACAAACGTAAAATGCTTTATTTTTAAAATTTAGTAAGTGTGATTGAGTGGAAGACGAACTTTCAAGGAAATTACCTCGCATGCTTAAAAGCGTACATGTGTTGCGTCTCTTTTTGATGAGAAGCACATGCCTAAAGTAAGATGAAAACTACTTTGTCTCGCAGGACAGTAGTTCTCAATGTTTGCACCGTGGCGTAAGGTGTAGCTTACTGACGACAAATACGTCAAGTGATCCATTGAGGACTTTATTGTTTGTTAATAAAATTGGCCGACCGCATTGTTAGTATGTCCGAACAAAAGTTTAAAATTGGCGTAACCAACGGAGTTTTACAGCATTACTTTTTGTTTAGGGTTTCATGTTACACGTCATATGAGAGTCTAACCTCAGATAACTTCTTAGTTTAGTTGCTACCCATCTTCTAAAGTTTCCTGCCGTAAAACCTTGCCAAAAATAGGGTTTTCAAGTATTATTTTTGGCAACGTAACACAATCCATCTTTATTTTGATTTTGAATTCCGTCAACGACCAATCTATGCTGCGGTCTCGTCAGAAATTTTGTCAACTCACTAAACTTTTTCATGCTCATACACCCGTGATAAGTTGACGACTTGGACGGATAACAATTTCGAGCAGCCCGTGGTTTTTTGTGATAACGACGCCTAATAACCGTCCTTACGTAAACGTGTAGGGCAAGTTGCTGACATTATTTGTGGAAATAAGCTAGCAAGCTAGAATTTGCATGTCGAAAATGACTTTTATATTTCCCAAAAGTGTGGATACGCTAGCTAAGATCAGCCGCAACAGTTCTGAAAGAGACAACCAAATAGTTAAGCAAACGTTTCTAACAACGATAAGAGCGCCGATAAGTGGATGAGTACCTTGAGCTTAAATCTTGTTGAATTTCATTATGCGGAGAAAGGAAAGAGTTCTAGAGTTGTGTAGATTTTTCAGACTGAATAATCGGCCGACCGTCTCTGAGATGAGAACGTTGCCATCGGAGAACTATTGTATTAACCCTACCACATTAGTCCTATTTAACTAATATTTTCAAATTGGATCCACAAAGGATCTTTCATATCAGAAAGATCATTTCAAAATTAATCAGTCAAGATGTTACCTGTCCCTCAGTTCGTGAAACAGGCATCCAACGCGCTTCATCTGTCTCAGGTATCCAAACGCCAGTCTCATGCCACTGATATCGCAGAGGTTTGTTTGAACCGTCTTCCAGTGCTTCGCAATTCCATGGCGCTAATTCAATAAGCTGGCATAGAAGAATCAAAAAGTCGTGCGTTTGTAATAGCCTACGTCCAACACTCAATGGTAAGCTGGACATGCCAGTGCTGTGGTCACAACAATGTTGAATTAAATGGCGCGATAACGAGACCGCCTTCATGCTTATTTCGAATGAAGTGACTTTAAGTTGCCTTCGTAACTCTTCTTCGTTAGTTTCCTCACGTATCTGAATCAAAGTAACTGGTTTCTGGAGTCTGATAACGTACTTCGTTTTTCAAGGATTTGAGTTCAGTTTTCCTTTCCTCTGTAGCAGACAGTGAAACCAGACGACAAAGGGCACGGTGACACCAGTCGCACAAGTCGATGGCTACATCAGCCAAGGCCTCAACTGCATCAATATGATAGGTGACAGTCTCTAGCAGATTGACCAAAACAAGTTCATGTTGAATATGAGCGTAAATGGGAAATGATGGTAAATCCTCTGGCATTCGCTTTAGTACGCGCTTAAGAATTTTCTGTTTCCATATCTCGGTGGATATGAGATCCCGAATTAGAAATGGAATTTTCTGATGGGTCAAAACAAACTCCTTGATAAATTCATCACCACCAGAACGGGCTGAGACGACAGCCTTTTAAGTATCAAAGTTAAATAGGAAACCATTACCTGCATGTTAAGTTTGTCCAAATATGCATGCTGACGATACCAGACTTCGCATCCGTATGCGTCAAAATCGTAAAACGTTAGGGATTCTATATAAGCCTCCGCTTCAGATGGATATAGAATGCACTGGTAAAAAAGAGAAAGTAGTGAAAAGTAGTTGTAATTTCGCAGACATTCCGTGCCCTGTATAAAGATGTGTCCGGAAGTATTATACAATTCCGTTTCACAAAAAATATCTTTTACCCATAATACGGGGTACAATATGATAATTTTCGCTAAAGTAATAACACAAAGTTATGTGTACTTATTAATACACACAGCCGCGTAAAAACAAGTCATCAAAGTCTCAAATCCAACTTGTGAGACAGCAGTTGACCCAAACGAGCACCTTTAGAAGCTAATGCATAATTGGGCGACACATCTCACTACTATAATGCGCAAATCTCTCCCTAAATCAAGCGTTTCCTGTCAATTTTAAAAACCAACTCGACATTTAAAACTGCTGAAATCGAACTTCTGCATTGAAAACAAGCTCCAGACTATTCAAAGTAGACTGCGGACCTTTCACTTTGACAATTGTTGATATATATCAACACGTATGTGTTTTAAAAATGCAGACGTTTAAGTAAGTACGTGTTGAGGCATATAACAAACCCGTAAATCGCATTCAGGCATCCTCGGCAGGATTAAAGTAACCTTATTACTTTAAACCCTTGGTGAAAGCAAGGTGTCTTAACTACTTTAGGACCTTCACTCGCGCGTGACCAGAGATCTTTAATTTAGTGCGCAATGCGGTACAGTTGCTATACCTACAGTTAACTAAACAAATTATTCCAATAACTCAATTTGCGTAAGGAACCTTAATTTCTCGAAGCCCTGCCCATAAAAGTGTTCTCTTTATAAAACCATAATAAGGGATTGGAACTTGTTTTCCAGAAGTCAGTATGGGAGGTTTCCATACAAGAAAAGTAACCAGAGGTCAAAGAAAGCAGAAACCGGAAGGCCTAAGAGGCAATAACAATAATAATTGGTCCAGTGAAGGACACATACTAGACGCTGTCACTGCAGAGGCACATGATGCACAAAATCGCATATTATGAATGAGGCCAAAAGTCCACGATTAGTTAACCAGGATGGGGGACAACAAGTAATACAACAAGATATTTAACGGAAAATCTGTGCGATATTGGCAGGCAGAACGAATATTGCCACATCTTATGGACAAATATCAGAGCGGATATAATGGTCAAAACCCCCGCCACTCAATAGTAGCTGGCACTGAGGCTCGGATAAGGAACAGCTAATCTTGCTTCAGTGCATTATTTTTCAACAGCAATTGCGCAGAATTGTTTGGATAAAATGAGGTCACTTAGACGCGGATCCTCGATGGGTCTGGTGTGGTTCTCTGCCAACGAAATGGTCAGTGTTCCTTCCCTCCCTTCTGATGATATCATTCTGCTCTCACTGTCCGTTTTTCGCTCGTGTCCCCCGCCCTCAACACACTCCTCAGTCATTACCCGCAGTTGCCGTGAGCACTGCTATCCCCACTGCTGTCTGACGACGTATATGAGACCATTACCTCTCATTCCTAATGGAGCGTTCGTACAGTGCCTTGCTTTTACATTGCATTCGTTATTTTCCACATTTGCTATTCTACCCGTTTGCTTACCGTAACGTGGACTTCATACGCAATGAACACCTTTTCTTACTATAAACCTGCGTCCATGTCTGATGTGGTGTTTAAAGACTCTGTCCAATGTTACGTTACCAAAAAGCTACTCTAGATATTCTTTTCCATCCTGTGTGTGCTACCCTCGATGTCTTCGGCCGCCACAGCCATTCTCAAGCGTTCCTTAATGCTGATCACATTAAGGGTCGAGGTCAAGGCGCCCATGTTGGCTTTCAATAACCAGTAAAACTTTTTAGTTCATTTTACCGTTATCACCTATAACTGAGTGTTCTCAAGTTTCCGTCCTGCATTTTTATGGACGATGTTCCGTTAAATGTGTATATTGCCGACAATATTTTAATACCTTCTTTATTTAAATTTGATATTGTATGTAACGTTTTCAGAAGGGTTTTCAAAGGCACTGCCTATGGCCTATAAAATATCCTGACTGACCTAAACTTCGTTGTCTTTTGCGTAAATTGCCAGTTTAATTTTAGGCAACATTTACTATTACTATCCATACATTGCGTGCACTTGGCATTGTGTTTATCCTTTCATCATCAGGTGGAAATGCTCTGTATCACAATATCTCACTCTGTGTAACCTAATTCCTTTCGAAGTATGCTTAAAGTTGACTTCTCGGTTCTGACCCTGAAAAGTCATGTCCCGGAGATTTAACTCCAAGTTCTGCACTGATTAATTTCTGAAATTATTCACCTGATTATTCTCTGGAGTTCATATACCGGAAACCGCTAGAGAACGCTGGGGGTCACACTGAAGAGCCGAACCCCTCGCAGATGTATCACGCAGCGGCAAAATTTCGGCGAAACACGTGTCTGGGCTTTTAGCAAGTATCTAGGTCGGGAGTACGGTATAATACCATTACCATATGTATATGTATATTTAAGGGTTACAGGCAGAGCCCTTGATGACCCTATTTATGTACAGTGCTTTCGCAGATTCATACTCAAAAATAAAATTAAATTGCAGGCATTTAAAATGTGATTGGGTCACAGTTCAATCATAATCATAAGGTAGTGCATGGGGTCTCTGTAAATTAGTGCGGGAGATTGTAAATGACAGATTTTACAAAACTGGCTGTGCATAGTCATGCTGTACAAGCCGATTTCTGTCGAAAACTAGACGAGCAAGTTTTCTTTTATACACACAAACTGTGTCAGCCGTCACCATCTCGCTTGGAAGCGAGTTCCACGATCTGACAACCCGCTGGCTGAATGAAAATTTTCGTCGGTCTAAACGC